ATTTGTTTAAACTTTTTTCATAAAAAATAGTTGTAGAGTTTAAGTTATACCAATATACATAATAGTTAACTACTGAACATACCTGTGCTTATACATGTTAATATGTTATAAATTGTTATATTAAGCAAACAAAACTATGAAATTGGAAAATGTTTACTATACATTTTGTTCTACACATGAAAGTTTATATTGTAATATTAATTTGTATCATATATATAATATTAAATATTTATAAAGTATAAATTATTATATTATTTTAAAAATTGCTATGACGTGTTGTGTTGAAATATACTCTAATTGTGGTAATTGTAAAGCTAATAGCCCAAACAAATTAAACTTCTTTAGGGTAATTAAAAATTATTTAACCCGTCAGTGGTCGCGATGTGAGCGCGGCGCTCACCTCGTTAGTATTTTGAGAGCCATTTGTTTATTTATTACTTGATTCATCTGATGCTATTTATACCTTCAATCGACACATATTTAAGTATACTTTTGCAAATATAAAAATTGTATAGATAATTCTTGATTAGATATCGACATGCAATGTTGTTAATATCCATAAATTCAGCGTTTCACTCACTCAATAGGTCAACCAAATACTTTTTCGTAAACTCAGACTTATTTTTAAGTAGCACCCAACATTTATATGTGTACTGTATAATAATCAGCAAAATATTCCAGACCACTAAGGCGAAGATGAATGATAATGATTAGGTATCTTATTATATAATTATGTATAAAAAATTATAAATTAATTTTTAGTGGTTAACAATTTATAATCGAGAAAAATTGTAAGAACATTTTTTGTAAAAGATTAAACTATAAATAATTCGTTGTTGGTTTCAATATTTTATGTTCATTATATAATAAATAATGATGAAAAAACAACAAGGTGAGCTCAGCGCTCACTCAATACCAATGGCGGGACTTTACATAGCGATACCAACGACGGGTTAAGGCGGCTCTTAGTGGCTATTATTTAAGGGGAACAATTTAGGCAATTTCTAATCTTGTCGTCGCCGCCCGTAATCCTTGTGTTAGTCGTAAATGATTATTAGTGTGAAATTCGAAGAGATTCGAACTCGATAACAATAGATTTTATATCGCCCGGCTGCGGGCACACGGTTCAATAGCACACGTACGCGCATGCACAAGTCAACGAAATCGCTCTCGAAAAATATTTTTATACACTCACAACAGTGAAAAATGCTAATACGCTGGCGAAAAATACACATACTTCTAGTAGTCCAATTTCAATTTTGAAAAATTATTTGAATTCGTCAACCTCTTTTCTATGATTTGTAGGAAACCGATTTTGGATATTTTAGATAATTACGTGTATTACGGTTCCAAATGACTGCTTGATTTCTCAAATTTAACTTGCACTTTTAAGTGCTAACTAGACAAAAAGATGAAAAAGTTTTTCCTACAGATCATAGAAAAGAGGCAAACGAATCCAAATAATTATTCAAAATTAAAATTTGACTACTAGAAGTATGTGTATTTTTCGCTAGCTTATTGGTCTAAATGCATGAAAAATCCAATCGTTTAGAGCCACCTTAACAATGATTAACACAATACATATGTTTAAACATTTATTAGATAAATAAAAATAAAATTTAACAAGTTAATGTTGTATACAATTCACAACTTATGATATTTTGAAAACATGTAATTAATCGATGTGGTCTATAATTACATGAAAACTATAACATAATATTTAGTTATACTTATACATTATATAATATCACACGTTTTACATAATAAACTTATTATTTATAATACTCGTTATTTGTTTAAACTTTTTCATAAAAAATAGTTGAAGGGTTGAGTATAATATGCCACTGTACATAATATTATGAAAATAAAGTTACAAAAAAATCATTTTTGTATAATAAATATGACTATCATATAAAAATTTCTAAAACTACTAGTATCACCAACAACATATTGATATAAATTATCAATAATCTATTTTGTGTCTCTCACTAGTCTCACTCCTTTTAGGACAGTAAAAGTGCTTGGATTTTCTTCAACAGTATCTTTTCTGATAGGAAATTGAATCTAGTTAGTAGTTGGTACTTTGGGAGGTCAAAAGTAAAAATTTCCTAGTAGTTTTTAAAAGCACCGTGAAAACAAAAGAAAAATTAAGGAAAAACGGAATTTTTACTCAAAATCTGTTTTCGATAAAATCGATTTTGGTTTTTAGTGCAACTCTAACAAATGAAGATAGGTAGGTACACGAAAAGTTCACTGGATGTTTATATTTGCATTTTCTATAAAGGATAATATTTTAAAAATATTTTGATTTATTTTGAAATGATTAGATACATTTTCATTTTCCATTTTTATTTAGTTTTTTTTTCTAAAAATATCAATAAAATTTTATTTGTTGCTTAAAAAATCTTGAAAAATTAATAGAAGGCTCCTAGTAGATATATTGTTTCAAAGGCAGATGAAAAGTATTAAATATCCTTAGTCACAGTTTTTTTTATAAGCATTTAAAGTTCAAAAATTGACAAAATATGGAAAAATCACGAAAATTAGCAAATTATTTTGAGTTAAGAATTCGTAAAAGTTTTTCTTTTTAAATCTAAGGTTTTATAATGTACCTAATACAAGATTCCTTATAAGATTATCTATCTTTATCAAAAAATAAAATGTCTATAAGAAAGTCAAATTAAATTTTTATGAGCGTTTGAAATTCAAATTTTTACAACTAGGTATTTTAATTATTTTGTTGTGATTGTATAATATAAAACGTGGGTACTTGAAACTTCTAAAGTACACTATATTATATATCTATGATAGTATCTTGGTTTGTTATTGATGTATAACGTGTTATAAGTACCTAATGGATATTGTGATATGATTAATTTGGAATTTATTATAGGTCAATTTTTTTTTTAATACCATATAGTTATGTATATAATATGTTTTAAACCTAGACTGACATACCGTCTTCGCTCAGTATCGTTTTTCTTATACAATGATATTGTATCATTAAATTCAAATTTAATACCCTCCATTATACAGTGACCCACTTGTAACCTACTGTACAGCAGAGCACCTTTTTTATTTATTTTTTAAACGTGTTTATGTTAGGTTTTAATGTTTTATAGAAGACAAGATATCCAAAGATGTCAAATTTTGGACATCAAAAATTGAACCATTTGTTACAACATTTTACATGGAATCGTTACTGCATGAAATCATTCACCCAAGATTTGATGGAGGACTACCAATAATATCCTGTATATATCCTGTAAAGAAGCTCTCACGAAATTAAGGTGTATTTATGTAACAATATAAATTATAATATAATACAAGCAATTGTTTTTTTAAAGAATTTACTTACTGTTGTCAATATATAATTTAAAATGATTAAGTTTTTGAATACAATTATGAACTAGGTACATTGTACTCTACCTATTTAATACGATGTTGTATTTACCTACCGGTTTTGTTAATACAATGCGCGCTGTGACAGTAATAAAATTATTGTTGAACTGTTTACTGATAAAACGTAATAATTACGCGTTTGGGAAACTCCCGCACACTAATGATCAGTTATTACACACAAACTCACACAGCAATTCCCGATGGATATAACATATTGCCTATACTCAACCCCTTAAAAACTGTCCACTTTCAACCGTAAGAAGTATTCACATCAAAAAATAAATTCTGCACTGTGACTGTTAGTATTCTTGTCTATGGTGGCGGCCGCCGCCGCCGTTAGTTCCAATCACTAAACAGGGCACTGTTATCAATGTTCAGATATATAACACGTAAGAATATGCCGTCTCTACGTCTTATCTATGCTGCTTACCAGTTACCGCGATTTATAGCATCATCTTAAATCGTGCTGCTTACCTCCGCCGTGCGCATCACGTCTGTCACTTACCCGGCCTACCCACTTCGGGCCACTTCAACTTTCAAGATTGTCGTTCCCGCCACCACTACCACAGTTCACCTCCTTACCGAATGTGTCGTATTGGCGGTGGCCAGTGGCCCGTCAGCAGTCACCATGGTCTCGATAGCTCCGCAGTCCGCCGTCGTCGTTCCGTTATCAATAGTATTGGTCGCTCTCGGTGTGCGCCGATAACACCGATCGTTTCGTGGTTTTGTCATGATAAAAAAATGTTTTCCCTATTATCATGACAATAATATTTATATCAATATATTTTGTCAATTTGTCATGTTTGTTGTGAAATGGTAGTTCGTAGTTTGTGTCGTGCGATTCACATCCGTCAAAAATATATGCGTAATACAATTTTGTCAATGACGTGTCATACGTGGAACATTTTTTTATTACCTACATTTAGTTTACAATAACACCTATTGTAATATGTAGGATAATATGCGATGATGAGGAGTTGGGTGTCCGATCAGAGTTTGGTGGCCAAAGAATAGTTTTCCGACATCATGTCGAAGTGGAAAGATACGGAAACACCGACACCGGAGCGGCAAACACATTCAAGCCCCTCCAAAGCACAGTCATATATTTCCTGTAGAAGAAACACCTGTTGTTTGATCAGTACGACCTGGATGAACCTGTGGAAAAAAAACTTTGTACCATCGGGAGATGCATGGCCGTCAACTCCCACCGTACCAGAAATTGTAAGTAACCCGAGTGCCCGACTGACGCTCTACTGCACATTATCACAGATTTCTATATACAGTGAAACCTCTCTTAACGGACACCTCTAATTAGCGGACACCTCTGAATAACGGACGTGGACAGGTTAGGTAGTCCGAAGTGTTTAAATATATCTAAATAACGGACAGCTGTCCAAGAAATACAAACTTATTGTGTAGGTATACAATACAATATGTACCGATATTTTACCGATAAAGACATTTATCTAAATCGTAATTTAATGAATACGATAAGGTATGAAAAATTACAAAATTAAATAAGAACCTATACGAACGATAGTGATGTTATGACTTAGGTACTGATATCAATAGCATTGTCCGTTAGTATCGTATTTACCATGGCTCCGGTACGGTCGCGTTTGACGTTGAAAAATAAAATCGACATAATAAAATGTTATGATGCAAAAAAACAAAGTATTCATGAATTAGCGACTCAATTTAAAGTTGGTAAAACTCAAATTGGAACCATACTCAAGTCCCGGGTAGATCTATTGTGTAAATGGTGTGATGAAAACGTGAATGGAGAGACAAAAAAGAATTTTATTGAAGGTAAGGGCTTTGAAATAGACCATGTGTGTTATGAATGGTTCTGCCGCGTCCGTGCTAAAAATTTGCCTATCTCTGGTCCTCTCATACAGCAAAAAGCTATAGAAATTGCTAAAACTTTGGGTAGAACTAATTTTAAAGCGTCTAATGGATGGCTCAAAAAATTTCGCAAACGTCACAATATTGCTTATAAAGCTATCTGTGGAGAAAGTAGTTCCGTTGACCATGATATTGTGGACGACAATTGCAATACAAGAAAAAAAACAAACTAAAATTTCAGATTTTTTTTTTCAATAAGTAATTTTGTATAACATATTTTATTACGTCCAATTATAATAAATTATGTAATGATAAATAAATGTTTAAAAAGTCAATAAAATTTTATTACGTCTAATTATAATAAATTATGTAATGATAAATAAATGTTTAAAAAGTCAATAAAATTTAAATTTTCAGACATAAATACATACATATTATTTTATCAATTTTTCCCAATAGCGGACACCTCTCAATAGCGGACAATTTGGTCGGTCCCGTGAGTGTCCGCTATTCAGAGGTTTTACTGTAGTTCTGTGTAGTTCTGTGTAGTATAGAATTCTGTGCACATAATATGTTTTTTTTACTTTTCCAAAATAATAATATATTATGTACTTATACAATAGGTATTTGCGAGAACACGGACGCCTAGATCCCCTGCACTGTAGATCCTCATCATCCATTAGATCCCCAAAGTCTATTGGATCCCCGTGTCAAGTAGATCACAATAATTTATTTTGATTCCCCGGTGTCCTTAAGACTTAAAAGGCTGTTTGAAAGTAGACACAAGCCACATTTAAAAACGATAAGGACTTTTAACAGACTGATTTTTATTTCTCAATTTTTAATTTACAAAATAGTATTATGTCAGTGGATGATTATGGCATTAATCGACTATTAGCCAACATGATTTTATCGGTTGACACCAAATGCTATTTATAAGAAATTAACATGCCAAAAATTACCTACCTCCCTACCTATGTTACAATGTTATAATGTCCCATCTCTAATAATAAATTATACGTACGCTATCAAACTTCTCTAAACATTACGTCATAGTGTCATACCACAGACTTCTATACTAACTATACTTCTGTACTATTTACCATTTACCCGAAAAAGAAAATAATTAAACATTTTTTTTCAACCTTGATACTTTTTCATCGACCACAGCACATGGGGGACATTTGTCTTTCAATACTCTGCAATTTAAAAAGTTAAATGTCAAGAGTTAAAGCCCCAATCACTTTGATTTTTTCAAGTTTTTGTGGAAATCAATTTCCTTGCAGTGTTTGGGAGGAAAAGTTTTGAGGAGGCGGGTGTTTGAAAATAGTACATTAACCCATAAAATGCAATTTTAGCCCCTCGCGACCCACAGATTTTCTCTACAAATCCTATGGAACAGCACCCAGGGAGTATTTTTTGGCCTCACATAGGGTGTCAAAAAATCAATCCTTACCTAGATTCTAATTTTTTTGAAAATTAAAAAAAAATATTTAAAAAAAAAATGTTCTATAAGTCTTGGGTAGTATTCTGAATAAAGTATTCGGAATACTTTTAAAATACTTATTCCAACAGTATTCTGAATTATAATATTTAGTATATTTTTTAAGAGTATCTTATTCCTATTGACCAAAATATGATTCTGTAAGTGTTATTATTATTCCCTGTATGTATACAATTTTCTAATAAACTGTTTTTTCAATATACAGAAATGAGGCACAAAAATTAAAGTGCATAATGGCTGATGCGTGGGTTCATTTCCACGTTTTTGGTGGTTCGGACTTCGGATTACAGATAAAAATAACTTGATTAGCTGATTGAGTGTCACTTCTATATTGTTCTGTGATAGAAGTAATTGCAGCGTGACACATCGGGGATATTCTAGACGCTGACTTGCATTCATTATGCTGAGGGGAAGTAATTAAGAGAAAGATGTTTCAATTTTTTGTGTAAGTACCTAAGTATTTAAATTTAAAATATAATTTTTTTTTTATATTTTGTTGTAATCCAAAAACTAATAATTTTTGATACCTACCTGCCTACTACATTTTGACATATATGACCATATGTAAACTTATAATATTAAAATGAACAAATTTATTTTTATATAAACGATGACTAGCTTATTTTCTTATGAATTATCAAAATTGAATTTTTAATAAAAAGAGTAATTTAGAATCGAATTTAGCTCTTACACATACAACTTCAAAACCTACAATGTGTGGAATAATAGATCTATTTCAGTCTTATAAATAGAGAAATAATTTACGGATGGATTAATCTTGAGTTATCACTATAATAAACCATTTATTTTATTACTAAATAACCAAAATATGAAATTGCACAATTTTAAACAGATTTTATGTCAATCATATTTTCATAGTTTGTTATGATTACCTATACCTACGTAAATATTTGTTTAATTGTAAAGATTTATGTTATAAATAGTGACTTAATTGACCTCAACAAAAAACTTACAATTTGATGCATTAAAATACTGAAAAAAAAACTTTGAAATATTTTACTCAATGCCTATAAAATATAAACCCAAGATAGTAATACAAATAAATTAACCTATGTTTCAAGCGATCCTATAATTTCTTAGTGCCATAATTATTTTCATCCTTATTGCAGACCATTATAAAATCTTGCATTTTAAAATTGTGGCCACTAATAATTTTTATTTCACAATCTGAATAAGAGTGGGTACTTCTGTACAAAAAGTTACATAAATAAATATAAAAATGTATGAGCTATTAAATCAACAGTTTTTATTAATGAGCCTATTTTAAAATTTAGAATAAGAAGTGTGAAGTTAAAATGTGTAGTCCACTACTGGAACAGTCTATGCTTTAAATGTGAATAGCTCTTTAAACCATAATCCTTCGATATTTATATTTAAAAAAAATTAACATTTCTTGTTCCAAACTAGCATAAATTAATATTATAGTTATCAATATAAAATTAAAAGTGAACAGTGGTTTCACCAAGCAAAAATATAAGATTATATTATACCTAATAGGTAACTAATAACTAATAAGTATTTCAATTTCACTTATATATAGGTACTTATTATACATTTTGTAACAAAAAAGTATGACAAAAACGCAACACATTTAAGATAATACAATGTTTCCTTTTAAAAGAATCTCACTTTATAATATAATAACTCTTTAATTTGTTTATGTGATAGAAAATATAACATATTATAGGTAACAAAAATTATTATTTGCGTCTGATTTTTTTTTTACCTTTTTCAGGTAACGCAAAAACTAAAACAACAACTCTAGCTGTTTCGGAAAATTCATGTAACCGTGCTTCAAAGACAGATGAATGAGAAAAGGGAATTCACCATATAAAACTACCTGCTGAAACAGAAGAGAATTTTGTTCCAAAGTGCCGGCAAACGAAATTACCACGTTTTTTAACAACTAGCCAAGAGCACGAGGGTAAGTTGTTTTGTTTTTAAACACATACCCATCTGCTGGATTGGAAGGTGGGATGATATTATCCATATACCGGTTTCTCCCCTTAAAATGCTTTGATTTCGATATATTATAATACTGCACCCTAAAATTATAAATATTAAATATTTGTTCTAGTCCTTGAATCATATATATTATTATGTTAATAGCAAATTACTTTAAATTGTTACCTACTCGAGTATGGTTTTCACTATTTTAACCCGTTTTAACTCTTAAAACAATAAAAATACAATGATTGTGTCCTTAAGTATTTTATTGACGGGGTTTTTTTTATTGAAAAGTTGAGTGCAAAATAATCAAGACAAATGTAGACTTTTGAAACGGTTTTCGGTAAATAAAATATTAAAAAAAACACTAAAAAAGTAAATACTGTTTAAAATATAAACAAATAAACCTTAGAAAATGTATTTTTACTTTATTTATTACACCTAAAATAAATTTCTTGGAGTGTGCATCAGCGCGTTTAAACTTTTTATTTATAGAAATATTTGTTTTTTTTTAATGGATGTACAATACATAATGTATTTTTAACATTTAAATATTTATTTTTAAATTGTTCGTATTTTCAAATTTGAACCATAATGTCTGTTTGTGAGACATTATTTAACTGTGCATAGAAATATTATTTGCACCTAAACAAAAATATATTATGTTTTTTCATGTTATAGGTAGCACAGCAAGCATTTGGTGGAGATGTACCAAGTTGAAACCTCCAGATTTCTACAACTACCTAAACCAGTCAAGTTGCATAATCAACGGCGGTGGGTCGGTCATACACAGATTTTACAAGCCTACACAAAAATATATTATGTTTTTTCATGTTATAGGTAGCATAGCAAGCATTTGGTGGAGATCTACCAAGTTGAAACCTCCAGATTTCTACAACTACCTAAACCAGTCAAGTTGCATAATAACGGCGGTGGGTCGGTCATACACAGATTTTACAAGCCCCGCATACCACTCAAAACGTAAAATTGAAGATGAACACAGAATATTTCAAGATAGTTGGGAGATTGAATTTTTCTGTATATCTGGTAAGAAACACGATGCTTTATGTTTAATTTGTCGTAAAACCATAAATATTCCAAAACGTTATAATATTAATCGTCATTACACCACTCATCATACTGAATTTACTAAAAATTATCCACACCCATCTAAAATAAGAGAAAAAAAACTAATTGAATTAAAAAAAGGAATTTATTCTGAAAAACAATCAATGTTATGGTTCACTAATAAAAATGAACTTGCAACAATATGTATGAAGTAACACATATTTTAGCCGAACACATGAAACCATTTTTGGATGCCGAACTAATAAAGAAATGCATTTGGATTTATTGAAACCCGTGAGCAGTAACTACAAAAGAAATATTTGAAATTAATATTATGAATTGTAATTTTGGTTTATTGAAAAGTGAATTAATTGACTTACAGCAGGACATAACATTAAAAGATATTTTTAATGGTAAATTAATACAATGGAATTTTGGAATACACTTGAGGAACATCAATATCCTTCCCTTTTATCAAATGTAAAAGGTATTCTAACATTTTTTTTATTGACATATTTATGTGATTCTGCTTTTATTAAGGTAACATTTATAAAAAATAAATACAGAAATCGTTGTGATGTGATGTGATGTGATTTGAACGATTTACTGTGGTTTTCAACATCAAATACAACCGTAGACAAAAACAAGATTATAAAAGAAACACAGAAAGGTACCGTCCATCAACATCAAAACAACATTAAATCAAATAAATTAATTTTAATTAACAAAATATCAATAATAATTTAATAAATATATAAATTTAATATAGTATGCTAATAATATGAATGATTTGTATTTTGTGTAAAATAAACTATGAATTTAAACTTAAAATTATAATTATAAATCCAAGAAAAACATTTGTGTCCTTCATGTACTTTTTCCTACAACACCCTTTCCTAACAATATATATATAATTTTTATGTTTTTAATTATTAAAAAAATCATTAAAAATGTATGCGGCCCTCAAATAATTGTCAAAAATTACATTTGGCCCATTCTACAATCCTAGTGGGGACCGCTGGATTAAATTATATTTTCATTTGAAAAAGTTTTCTTTACTCATTCCCCAAAACCTACAAAAATATGTGCATAATAAAATGTTGTCAATGACGTGTATTATAACATCTATTATAATTTTTAGGATAATATGTGATCACTAGGTGTTGGGCGATTATGAGCAGAGTTTGGTGGCCAACGAAAAGCTTTCCGACATCATGTCGAAGTGGAAAGATACGGACGCCAGAGCAGCAAACACATTCAAGCCCCACCGAAGCACAGTCAAATATTTCCTGTTGAAGAAACACCTGTTCTTTGATCAGTACGACCTGAATGAACCTGTGGAAAAAGAATTTTTGTACCATCAGGAGATGCATGGCCTTTTGTGAATTCATTCCCGCCCACCTAGTAATAAAATGTCACGGTTCCACGACATTTGATCCGGTAAATAATATCCGGCAACAAATGATACGCGTCATTAGATCCAGTGCAAAAATATCCTGTACTCAAATTAACCGGGTTAAAAATATCCGGTATTTTTAAATAATTAAAGTTATTGACTCTAAAAATATAAAATATAAATGTAGGTATAATAATTATAGGATAAATATAATTGTGTTTCTATGATAAATAAATAATATAAATATAAATATAAATATGTAGGATAAATATAATTGTGTTTCTATGATAAATAAATAATATAAAATCAAAATTATTGACAGTCAAAAAAAATATATAATTTAAATATAAATATAAGTTTAACAATTGTAGGATAAATAATATAAAATCAAAATTATTGACAGTCAAAATATAAAATAATTATTTTTCTATGTTAAATATATATAATTTAATGATTAAAAATTGAAATTATGAGCAATACCTTTTAAGTAATTTAATATATCACCTCTTTGGTAATTGAATACAACATTTTCTAGTCGCTGGTCAAAATCTTTATATTTTTTTTCTTTTTGATGCATGGCTTTCTCCTAAATTATTCGCCTATTTCTTATAATTATCTTAAGATACCTTAAGCATAGTTTTTATGTTGTCTATTAAACAAATTTTCTTGACAAAGGTGACCCCCAACCTACTAAAATCACCTATGACAATTGTCATAGTTAAATATGTATTTTGGGGCCACTGATAATTATACATATATAATTGCAGTTAATTAAAAATAATATTGTAATACCTGATTCACTGTCTGTTGTAATATGATACCGTCCTTTACAAGAAAATTTCTTGTACTCCGTTCAACGCCACACAATTTTTTCATCGTATTTTTTATGTATGTTATGTAAATATCCATTTAATAATAAAAGTTTTTTGCCTTTTTGACTTATAACAAATTCGAGCGCTATATTTAATTTTATTAAAGGTATTGATGTGTTGAAGTTACAGGTATTGATGTGTTGAAGTTGTGTTGTATTGTGTTAAAATGTTGTAGTGTGTATTTATACAACACGAAAACCAGAAAACTGATTATCGCTGGTTATTGTTGTTACGGGATATTTTTGATGCCAGTTATTTTGTCGCCGGGTTATTATCTACCGGATCATTTGTTGCCGGATATTATTTATCGGATCAAATGACGTGTCACGAAATGTCACACCATAATGTTATAAAAGTGCATATTAATTAATGTTAAACATTATCTTAATGTAGACTTTGAGTTAAACTTCTATTAAACTAATCTTCCTACTATGAAAGTGCAAAGTTGTCTATTATTTGGTCCAAATTGTGATGTTAAATAAACAACCCAATCGAATGTTGTTTCAATGTTAACGTCGTGTAAACTGAAGATGATATTCCCATTAGACCATACTAATACTAGAATAAAGTTTCTCTAATATTATCAAGGAAGTTGTTATGCGTGAACAAAAATATTACTATAAGGTTAATTTAAATTTTAAAAATATATAAATAATACTAATAGGTACATATATTTATGTTAAATACAGAATAGATACTAAACAGAGTCATACTATTGAATATTCCGTGAGAGGGAGGATATTTAACCCCACGACCTCCAGCCCTAACCCATGAGGACGCCTCTGGTACTAAAGAGATAGGCATATTATCTTATAAACAATTACTTATAATTTAAATACAATTTTATACTTATTATAATAAAATGTTATATGTAAAATAATAAATATTGTATAAGATTATCTTATAAGAGGATAAAATGATCTATTGAATAATGAATTTGTTATGGTATTTTCAAACAAAATGGTTTATGTATTAAATTATTTCATTTTTGGTTTTTAATTTCTAATTTCAGTTGTACTGGCTTCTTTAAAATTTGGTACTCACCTAACTATAACTGATAACAATCAATAAAAAAATTGAATTCTTAGACATTTTTATGTGTTTATTTACTACCGCTTTTAGTAGTTTTATAGTCAGGAAAACAAGAATATATTTCATTTTTAGCGAAGTATTGACATGTGCGTGCGCGTGTGAGAGTTGCTTCCGGTGCGGTTGCCCGACTCGACTTGCTGCGATTCTCGGAAACGATGACGGATTAAGCACACTAATGTTCATTTACTACTCCCACATAAATACAGTATTAATTTATATGTCACATGAATTGCCTAAATAGTACTCCTTAAAATATGCTACGTTGCAGCCCTCTTATTAATATTAGGTATTTAGGTATTAGTACTGAAGTAGATTATATTAATTTTTGCTGAAAATAATGCATTTTAAAATGTCATTGTCTGTATTCAAATATAATAATATAGATACTTTGAAAGTATCAAGAACCCAAGAGTAATATTTTTAAATTACAACAAAATAACTAAAAGTATTATACTTTATATACTTTATACTAAATTTCACCCTAAAGACACGATTCTACTTTTAACAGTACGCTCTTATAAATACTCCGATTTAAGTTTTGAAAAACTTATAAATTCTTAATAACATTTCCAAGGCATCGCTCGTGATGCAATTTAAAAAATATTTATAATTATTTAATTATTTTGACTTGAAAAGTTACAATTTTTTAAGTTTTGTAATCGTTTAAAAAAATAATATTGACAATAAAAATTTAAAATTTATTCCGACCGATGCATCAAGCAAGTATTGAAAAATCTAAATCCGTTTTCAAAACTTATGTCGGATGACGCATTCTAGAGTATGGTTAAATTTAGAATGTGTTATTTTCAATCAAAAACGGGCTGGTGTAGAGGTGTATTATATTACAAATTTACTGGTCAATTACAAAAATATTACTACTATATATTTCTTATCATATATGTTTACAGTATTGATAGTTTATTACAATATTTAATTATTGTTTATGTTAGTATATTCTTTATGTTTAACAATTATTTCTTTAGTTTTCACAATAATAATCTTATCTTATAGTCAGTGGTTGAATTGGGGGGGGGGGCGGGGGATGGAGTCCAACTTCTATTTTTAAAATATTTTAGCGTACCCCTTCTAATTTCAAGAATTGATAAGACATTTAAATGTTGGGGGGACGCACAAATGTTTTATACTTTAGCATACCCCTTCTATTTTTTTACCAATTCAAGCACTGCTTATAGTGTTAGTCTTTTTAATATAATATAAATTCTTAAGTCTATTACAATATATTTTTTTTTTCATGCAATATATATATACCATTATGTATTTCTAAAATACCATGTCAATAATAATATTTAATATATTTGTATGTTCCTATATATTATATATTATTCCATTATGATAGTTTTTTTTCTTTAACGTTTAACCTTTATTTTCATTATTAAAATTTCTACCTTACCTACTGATTCGCTTGTCCGTTTTATTAAATATATTATTTTTATTATTATCGTAATGCCGTTTTTCCTCGTTACTACCGCCCGCTTGTTTTTCGTTATTATTTTGTTTTTGTACGCATTTCCCTGTAACTTTTCCATATCTAACTTTGAGTTATATTCAAGTTCTTCATCTGTTGCGAGCTTAAAACACTGTTCCAAGAGCTCTGGGTTCCTACTTTTTTGTACTATATATAAGTGATGTGGTAATCTTGTCATAAATATAATCATAGCCTGCTTTTTAGTCTGGTTTTTAACCACAAGTGCTTCGGCCTTGGTTAGTCCTATTGTAGGTAATAGCCGCGCAGAGTTTATAGTATAATTCTTCGATTCTACTAGCGAAGTTCGCCACACCTTCTCCTTCGGCCATACGTGCCGTGTTCAAAGCTACTGATAGGGCCCTCTCCGAA